GGCCGGCCGCGGAGCCCCCGCCTGCCTCCTTGTGGGTATGCGTGAAGTGGTACGTAAGACCGGGACGAGTCTTGTATTTAGCACCGCACACTGAAATTTATCATGTATTGACTAAACTATGCTTATATAACTAAATCATACTAATATAATTGCCAAAGTTTAGATGGATGGATGTTTGTTAGAGTTTGTAGCCTAAACGGCTGAACGGATTCCGTTCCAATTTAGTACAGATGTAGAGGATATGGAAGAACACATAGGTTACTAGCTTTTATTTATTTTTAATTACAAGCAGACGGAGTCGGGGTCTAAAGCTAGTTAATTAATGAGTCAAGAGCTTCCTTCGAAATTAAAAATAAAATCTTATCTTTCAGACTGTAGCCACGTCTTGTCTGTTGCATTTCCTATGCCTATTTTTTTTACATTATTTGCAGTATGCATATGTAGGGTTAACAAATCAAAACCATACACATATAGCCCTAAAAACAACTAGACACGGACACAATAAATATTATTTTTTTTTTTAGTTGAAAAAATAAATAATATTTTTACTCACCGTACGTGGTGCCTCCATCCGCTATCATTTTGCTCACTTGTTAACGCGATCAAAATACGAACCGATTGTTAAATATAATTACGACGTTAATAAAATTAGGGTAAACGAGAGGTGTGCGTCATCAGAACAGAGCATAGAGGAGGCACCACGACGCCATCAGATGTATAGATAGGAGGCAGTTTTCCATAGTTATCCGTCATCAATCAATAACTTACTTTATTTATAAAAATCGATAGCAATTATAAAACGTCATCTTACAAATGTCAGATTGACAGCTGTCAATATTTTTTTTCTAAGGGATATTTCGAATTGTAGATTTTAGTTAGAAAAATGTAATTGTTTCTTCAATTGAACACTTATTTTGCCTTTTCTAGAACTCTTTCAGCAATAAATGTCACAAAAAATGGACGTTAAGTAACTCTTTTAATAAAAATCAAAGGAAAAACGAAACAAACGATCAAAATTTTTAGATGTCAAAATAAAAACAATTTAAATCGATATATGTAAGAAGTTAAAGTTTTCATATCTATGCAAAATAGAAATACATTTGTAAGAGAACGTTTTATAAACTGACGGCCCGTCGTGTACATTCTATGTTCAGTTCTAAGGACGCAGCCTCCTGGGGGTTAAGTTTGATTGATGACTTCAAATCAATGGATCCCTGTTCCGCTACAAACAAACACACACAACATATATATAGAAAAAGGCATTGAACAAAAAAAACGAGATCCAAACTTGAAAGTCCAATCAAAATTCAAAGGTTGAATTTTTTTTAATTTTAAAAAAGTCATTTTAGAAAAAAAATCAACCAATGAGTTGTAAATTCAAAAGAACATTTTTTTACCTTTCACAGTTTTATTTCTTATTCAACATAAATATCATTTTTTTTTTGTATAAATTCATAACAATCTTTGGGTGCTAATAATAGTTTGGATCTAAGAACGAGAACAAGTTCCTAATACTTACACACCTCAACTATATTAATTACAATAAATTATACATTACATTTATTAAAATAGGTACAATGACTAAAATTTTACCATAACTTATGCAAAAAAAAAGTACAGTCAGCAAATTAATATTGGTGTAAAACGCATTAATTTATTAGTCAAGGTTAAAATTTACGTAAAATAAAATGTAAATTATTTGAATTTCAGTATATTTGTCTATAACTTTGTGCCAATCAGAGGCATATTCGTAAATAAGTATACATTTAAAAAAAAATATTTCATACAATCCATCATTTTCATACAACAATCCATTAACATTAAAATGGAAGACACATGTCTTATTTCACTCCAAATAATTTTCAAAGTAATTTTAAAGGTAAAACTTTAGTCATTGCGAGAAATTACTTTCTGGATCTTAAAAAGAGACAAAAAATGAAATAAATAATCTATCACAGACGCATGAGTCAAACATACAAGAAACCAATCAGTGCAGAGATTTAGAAAGTGACAATTGTGATTTAAGACCTCATTAATAATAGAATAGGATCCGCGAGTGAGCATAATTGCACAATTAATAACTACAAAACATACATCTAATTGAATAAAGCTAGCGAAGAGATAAAAAAAAAAACATTAAAAAAAATCATTTTTTAAACCCAATTGGGACCTAAACATCAATATGCTACAAAATCGCAAATCAAAGTAATCCGAAAAATTATCTAATACATAAAAAATCTTATAATGGGGTGAATAAAATGCATGAAGACATTTTTTAAAATAACCTATACCATCCATAAATTCTCGGTTTTAAAAATGACGTCACCATATTAAAAAAAATATAAAACTCGACTGTTGTATTATAGTAAAATGCATGCGAAAATATTCAATTTTAAACAAGATTTTTGTAAAATTCTAATAGCTGCTTCATTTTATCCATAAAATTTTACAACCAAATTTTTTAATCACTACCAAATTTCTATTCCACTCATACAAAAAGTACGCATGCAATTTATTGTAAAAACTATGTATCTTAAATCCATATAATATTGCATTTAATTTTATTTCACATATTTAAGGCGCACATTTTGGTCAGTCGTAGATCCTAATTACAAATAAAGCTGTATTGAAACATTTAATAGATTTGACAAAAAAAAAAAAAAACATTTTAAACAAATTAAAAATAATTTTAATAAACAATGTATGAAACGAAACGTAAAAAAAAAAACAGACTTGTGCTGGCGGTACAAACTAAACGGCACACTGCAAAGGAAGTTGACTGTACTTATAAAATGGATTATTTCGAAAATTTCAGATTACATTAGTAAAAATCTATTAAACAGTATCAACACAGCATTTCTTAATTAATATATTATCCTATAAAAATATGAATTAACAATTATACTAAGTTTTCCAATTGGTACATTGTGGCAGTGCTATTTATTTTTTTAATTTAATTTAATAGTAATATATTGGTGTTGCAAAATTTAATATCTCCTTATAAATTTTATTCTAGCTAAAATATACTAAGTATTAGATTTAACATTTTAATTGACAGGTTTTATTGGCATTCAAAATTTGTATTTTCTTATTATAATCAGAATTAAAAAATTGGTAGATAATGAATAGATTATAGAGAAATGGTTTATAATTTTAAAATATTCAAGACGAATTTAAGGACAAACGATATTCGAAATAATTAAATCTACAATCAATTTTGCATGGGCAACATTTTCCTAAAATTTCATGTTAAATAATTGCAGAAATATTTTAAAACTACCTACATATCTAAATTAAAAACAAGGATAGTACGGGATACATTCATGCACATCACCAAAAAGGGTGGGCTATAAACATTTCACACAAACCTTTAACATAACCCATCACTTTTACATACATACATCTAATCATATGTTCACATTGGCTGTTTTCCATACATTTCCATGCAAAAACATCCATCTTTAAAATAATAGATTTTACAACATAAATTTATAACCTATAGATAGATCAGGAGCACAAAAATAAGGCTAAAAAAGGCTTTTGGAAACCTTTTGTTTCAGAGTTTTTTGTTGGGATGATTTTCTTGGTTTTGTCATTTACAAAACATAATAATATTTGAAAAATTGACATTGATTACAAGTCTAAAGTACTGTCCCACCAAACTGTAAATTCAATAAGTCTGATAACAATCCAATGTGATGGAAATATCAGATTTTGTTACTTTGACAGTGACGTCATTTTTAAGCTACCTGAGCCTTCAACCAGTGGTGGGACAGGTCCTAATTTATATAGGTTATATATCTATGTTTTGGTACATTTTGACCGGAAATCCATAATAAATATGTTAAAAAGGTTTTCCCCATTAATATTGATCCAACAATATTTTTAGATTCAATTTAGCCTCCTAAAACTATATTCAATAAATACAGGTCCTGTTAAATGAGGTTTTAACACTATTGAGCAATAACTATTTTTTAAACTGTGGTAATTGAAATTCTTAATAAACAATTTGAATTTTCTAGAGTTGTTGTTTAACTATTTTTTTGGCTAATAAAATGGTTTAGTTATCAATATTTCTTTAAAATAAGGGTTGTACAGACAGGTAGAATATATTTAGGTTTATTATAAAATTTTGACACCCCTTAGGACATTGCCTTAGTAACTATTACAGTACACACAGTACTTATCTATTCTTTTAACATAAAAAAGTTAAATTTAGATTTATTTAGTCTCAATAAATATTCAGACAAATCAGATAAAGAAAAAAACACTCAAACCAGGATAGAGATTAGTAAAAAATAGATTAATTTCACAACCGAAGAGATTAAAAAAAATTACTAAATATGAAAAAATAGAATAAACCCATTCTTTTTCAATCCTTCAAACCAGCAGATCCACAAAATCACATTTAAGGCACTACATACTTAAAAACATTGATTTCGAAACATACTGTGTGTACTATAGAAAAAAATATTGCACTCGAGGCAAGATTCTATAAAACTATCGGAACTTTAAGCTCTTGATATGGTCTAACTGCCACTAAGGGTCGTTTAACCTCTACTTAACACGTTAAATGCCACTAAATCTGTTAAGCATCATTCGGAATCATTTGGTCAATAATCGAGACCCTTAGTGTATAAAGCTCCACTAAGGGATGCTTATTTAAGCGACATTAGTGTGGCAACATTTCTTACAAACATGAGGTCAGTCTATGTAGTATTTGGTATTACAATTTGACTGTTGCGCTTCTATTTTATTTTAAATATTGCTATTTTTTTAAACATTAAAGCTAAATGCCTAAATAACATAAACGACCAGAAATATCTGATCGAATAACATTAAAATTTATTTTATCTACATTATTGTTCCAATTAAAATATATTTTTTATGACTACCTTCAATAGTAAACTGATTTACGTAATTTTAAATTGCCTAGACTATATTTAGGCATTTAGCTGAAATTGCATCAAACAAACATTTGCTATATCGAACACCGGCTCTAGCAAGAGCGAGATAACTTCTAATTTTAATAACAAAATGACGCTAAAAAACGTCATTTAAGCAATCTTTGCTGTAAAGTACAGTCGAGGAAATCTGCGGTGTTTAAGAATAAATTGCCTTGTTCATTGCAACGAGACAAATTCCGATTCCAAATAACTAATTAGATAGCAGTGAAAGCAAATCTATACTATTATAATAAAGCGTAAACACACACTTCTTTGTTACCTAAGATGTCAGCAATTACAGTATATTTTTGAATAATTCTTTTTTAATAAAAAGCCCTACACTGACGTCATGCTTTAGGCTATATATTTTCACGCCATTAAACTTTGGGGGTAAATATTTTGGATAAAAACCCTAATGTGGGAAAGAGACCATAAGTTACTGCCAACATCAAGAAAGCAAGATTGACAAGGTCATGTCATGTCAGTTTTAAATTTGCTATTGATAATTTGACAAATGTAAACAACAAAGTAAAATTTTCATAATTTCATGCGGATGAAGCCGCACGGGAACAGCTAGTGAAGAGATAATAATAAAAAGAAACTATCTGTGCATTACATTTTTTGTTTAATTTTACAGACACATTTAAAAGCGTATTATTGATTTCGTTTCGCAACTAGTTTCAAAATGTTCAAACTATTGTAGCTTTTAAAATGAAGCACCGCCAGTTTCCCCGATTGTACCTACTAAAATACCTTGCTAATATAATTTGCTCTAATTTTTAGTCCCGCTGTATTGCAAACCTTTTCACTTTAAAGCGAGATGTAATTTTTCTCTCGTCTAGAGCGAGATGTATCACCTCTCTCGCTCTGACTTAAGGCGGGTATGACCTGATAGTAGATAAGCTAGTGTTTCCTCCGTGTGGACTTACGTTCACATCCGTATGGTTTCTCCGCATCACCTGGCACCTCGTACGGCAGCGTACCCTGACCTGCTCTCTTACGTCCGCGACCCTGCAATACAGAAATAAATTTAATTTAAAAACTTTTGTGAGAATTGCTTTATTTCGGGTTTTTTTACACTATAAGGTGACAAACGACCAAGTGGCCTGCCTAAACTCACCGAAAAAGCGAACGTCGCATAAACATCGGCAATTGCAGATATGTTGCCTACCCTTAATCGACGGAGGAGACGCACATAAAGGCAATTCCCCTTCCTATGCGTCTTCTTTACCGTCAAATCCACTTTCCCTTCCTATCTTTTCCTTATAGTGAAAGTAACGTATTACTAATACGTTTGTGCATAATCTAAGTAGAATTTATAAATATTACAGTCATCACTATCGCTTTTTAGTAGTGAATATTGACTACTAGAACTGTTCCTTAATAACTAAGTCAATAATAAGTTGAGCCCAACATATTTTTTATGATTAAACTGAATAGCCATAGTTCAGAGTTATTTGCTCGCTTATGTTCTATCTATATAACTGTCTATTAAGTATGGGATATGACTTCATACAAATTTTATTCGATATTTTATATGCGTGATTTATCATACTAATCAACTTTTTTTTTTATTTATTTTTTTCTTTAGACAAACTATAGTATGCATGACTCACAGCTCGTCCCCGCTTGGGAGGTGTATCATCGGGCTGCTTGTTGGCGCGCCGGCCGCCGCGCGAGCCGGGCCCGGTGGGCGCCGCGCCGCGCCGCTTGCGTCTGTTCGCGTATGTGTCGTCGTAGTAGTCCTCATCGGATTCCGGGTCTGGCTCCTCCCCCGTCTCCATCTCCTCTATCGCCAGCTCGTCGTAGAACCATTCCTGATAAATACATTGCACAGGCCCATTAGACATGACTTTCGATTAGCGATATCGTTATTAGAATCGACAAAATGTGCCAAAACATAAGAATGAATACGTGACAAGCACGTGCTTTATATAATTATTCCCAACCGTCACCCTGATCTGTCCCCACGTGGACACAGATGAGAATAAAGTTTCATCCGTCCCACCTTTGAGGAGAGGACGGTTGAAACTTATTTTATTTTATAAGTTACATCTGTTACCGTATTGGTGATAATGGTACTGAAAAGTGGGACGGATGAAATTTTTATTCCCACGTGGGGACAGAGCGGGGCGACGGTTGGGAATATCATAATCAGATTTATCGAATGATATTGTCACTTCCATACATTTTTGACTTTTCGATCAGCGATAGCGATAATCGAATGTTACTTTGTCTAAGAGGGCAGGTTTTTAATAGGTCTAGTTTGAATATGCTATTGGTTGAAAATTTAAGCAACACTTTCCATACTAAATCTAAGTGTTACTTAATGATCATTAACAGCTGAGTGTTATACTATAATAAAAATACATTAATAAAACAATTACCTTAGGATCATCTTTGGCAGCGGTCTGTGAGCCATCTCGGCTGTCATCACCTCCGAGCGCATCACCAGGTATACCCGAACTGTTCTCACCATCACCTGCATTCTCTGCTGCATCCAGTGCACTCCAGCCCCAACGTGTTGACGACATTGTTAAGTACTGACGTCGAGCTTTGCGCCATCTATTAAAAAAAGATAATTGAACTTTTCAGAGACAGGGTAGGGTGTTGTTGGCTACCGTCCATAGAACTGGACAGAAAAGGGAGCCATAGATCTGAATATTACAATTTCACATGACCCTGTTAACTAAATGCTAGTGTAAAGAGAACCATAGAAATCTCACCTAGTACATTAGTGACTCAAACCAGTTATTTCTATCTTGCCCAGACATGTGTAATACACACAATAGTAGAACAAAATAGAATATTGTTACAAATAAGTATTGTATTCCTTAAATTCTATAAAAAGGGAAAGAAATTAATAAGAATTTAAAAAACTTACTTCACTTTCTCTGTGCTAATGTTAACTCACTTGAGTCAGTGATATTTAACTTAAGTGACTAAAAGTAGTGTCATCTATTTTTAATCACCACCGAAGACCAGCACATGTGCTGAGTGGTTTTTTTAAATAAACAAATAAATGCAATATCAATATACCTTTGTGAAGGGTATGTGTACACCTGTCCTTCTCTAGCACCTGGCATGCGCTGCTTCCTCGTCATGAACAAGTTGCAATGACTTTGTGCAACACCTAAAAACAGATTTTAACAACTTTACTTAGGATCAAAGAGATTAAAAAAACATATAGGGGAAACATAGTTGGCACTTCATTTAAGACATTTTTCACATGACCCTACTCTACACATTTATATATTCTCAAAACCACATGTCAATATAATTAATGTGCTTTCGCCCGCAACTCAATCTGCATGGAATTAAAAAACTAAGTAGCCTGTGTTCTTCCAGACTATACTCTACATCTATGCCAAATTTCATCAAGATCCATACAGCCGTTTAGGCAACAAACTCTAACAAACATCCATAAATCTAAACTTTCGCATTTATAATATTAGTAAGAAGTAAGATTATCAAGAGGTGTCATAAAAAGATATAAATGTTTATGTTTTATTTTGTGGCCGTATTTAGTTTTTTTTATAACAAAAGATGGAAGACTGTTATAATTTTGCAAAATGTTTTCACATGTAGCACTTGACAACTAATATAGTACATTTCAAAGAAGTTACTGATGAAAAAATGTTGTTCCTTATATCTAGTCTATACATTTTTTAAATGTCTTTGCTTAGGACATTAAATTTTTAATAATTATGCAACGAATGTCTGGTAATGGCTAGTTACAATACTATAGGTCTGGACTTAATGGACTCACAGGCATCAGTGTTTTTATGCCAGTGATTTTAAGCGCTACTGGCATATTCTCAACTGGGCTTTTTTAGCACATACGAATATATTTTTAATAATTACATTTCAAGTATATTACATGATCAGTTTCATGGGTCGTTCTACATGCACCGAATTTATAGTAGAAACGCCCCTTTTTATTAAAAATTATTGTTAAACTTAATAGTTGATAATTCGTGTCCCGGTAATGTAATTTTACAAATTAAACAAGAATAAATACAAATGATTTTTAAGAGAGTCCAAAACATGATATGATTATTGTATGAAGTATGAACTATTTTCTTACCTGTTTGTGTGTCGATGAACGGCATACGCATCCTTCTCTCCGCACATAGTCGCGAGTTAAATGTTGATGAGTTTTCGATAATCTCTTTGTAACTTGGATCATTGAGAAAACTGGAAAAATATGCAACATAAACAAAACTTGAACCTCTTAGTGAAACTTAAGTACCGAACACAAGACTCAACATTTTGTTGCGAATGAAAACAACATCAAAGTTTTTAAGTTTTGTATGGAAGTTATGTATCAAACCTTTCTATTTTTGCTAAATTTGATGAATTTACAACTTGAATTTCTGCGGCCGCCATTTTATAAAGCAGACATGAAGACGACAACGCTAAGTTGGTGACGTCATGAATCCATAAAGAATGTTTATCTGACGTTTTAATTTTTTTTCTGTGTCCACTAGTGTTGCTACTTACGAACTATGCTATGGGGTTAAATATTACATAACCAGCACATTTTGGTAACAAAGAAACTTGATACTTTATGTAAATGTTGGACCTTGAGTGTTATTGTATCGTTACTTGGTTTACGTGAGATTGGTATTTAAATGGGTATCAAACCATTCGTAAAAATATTAATGCTGCTACTCAAGATATTGGACCTTTTTGATAGATGGTAATAAGTTGTAATTAGTTTAAGACATAGCAACACTGATTTTACGTCAAGCCTGTGACTGGTCATCGGCGGACGAATCGTGGAACTGGCGCATTTTCAGTTATTGGTGATTGGAGATCTTCAAATATTACACTGATTATTGGTTACTCTGTTCTAATAAGTTTAACCGCGGATGAGTTCTTAACTTGGTGGTGCAAAATATAACTTTGTAAATAAAAAGTTAACCAAGAAAAGAATTTCGTTTGCAAGGTGAAGTCGTAGCAATTCAAGATGTCTGTATGCTTCTTTGTGCCTGCGTAAGTTGTCGTCTACGGTTTATCATTTTTACTTTTACCGTACCATCTTTATTTCTTTTTTAAACATTGAGCGAATAATACAATGTATACAACATTAATTGTATGTGTATTTGTAAAATAGTATTGCATATTGGAATTATATTATTTTAACACTTTGACTTCTGACGTAGTCGGTAACAAGTACTTAATATACACCTAACGTTTCGTTTATTTTAACGTCTTAAGCACTCTGAGTAATGTTTCTTATTTATTATATATAATTTACTACTTATCGAAATTAAATCGCATTTTAAAAGATAAATTATAAACAGATGTTAGCCGGAACGAAATGATGTTAGTCGCATTAGATTTTTGCGCATGTACAGTTAAAAAAATATGTAGGTATAGGTGTCTAATCTTGTTTCGTATGTAAAATTAAGGCGAAAAAATTTCTTTAGATTTCTCAATATAAAATTTAAAGTATAACCATAAACATCGATAAATCGCAACATGTCATAACTATTTCCACTACCAATGTATAGCGAATTTTATCTCTATCATTCCTTCTTAAATATTGAGATAACAAACCTACATATATCGTAAACAATCACATAGTCTTACGAATCGTTAAATTATTACTTAAATCATCTCTTAGTGTAGATTTATTGTGATAAGGTAACTAAGGTATTGTTTATGTAACAAGCTTTTGCCCGCGATTGCAACCGCGGTATTAAAAAAAAACTTGTTACGTAGCCTTTGTTATTCCAGACAGTGTACTTCTATGTCAAATTTCATCCACATTCGTTAATCTGTTGTTAAATTATGCCATCCATACATCTAAACTTGATTGCCCGTGTGTCCGTGCGATATATTTGTACAGGGATCAAAGATATTCAAAAATATAGAGCTATAGCTTTCGCCCGCGACTTCGTTCGCGTGGAATAGAAAACAAAAGTAAGTAGCCTATGAGTTCTTCCAGACTATCCTTTACATATGTACCAAGGTCTACTGGAATTGTATTTATTTGACAATAGGTATCATTAAATAACATTTTAATATTTATTCTGTGATACTGTTTAATTTATTTTGTAACAAAAGAAGGAGCTTATAATTTTTTAAAATGTCAATAG